ATATCTCGGAAAATTTTCAACATTTTGGAAATTTGAAAAAAGATTTGAAAAGATCAATGGATTTGCGTAAAAAAAGTCACGACTCCCGAAACTGTATCTCGATTATTTATAATTTTTACAGAGCCCTGAAAATAGAGACAAAAGCGGGTAGTCTGGCTTCCGCGCGCCTTTCGTCACTCTGACATAAAAACAAAAAAAAAAATGATTTAAACATATTAAATGTAAATATTAAGGAATGAACAAATTCATGTGATGTTGGGATATNAATTTTTATCGGCGCGTTTTCGGACCTTTCCTTAAACTTTTTAGGCAAAAATACGAATCGAATGACACCTTGGTCGTAATTTTTGGACAGGGCTGAAAAATGTCACCAAAAAGAGCTGCATTGAGTACATGTGAACCAGACTAAACCCGCTCATGGGGGTTTTGTTCCTCCACCTGAGACAGATTCTGCGTACGCCACTCAAGAATTTGGTGCAAGGCGGTTTCATTAGGTACCCCGCTCTTGAGGAGACGACTCAGTCAATCCCTGCTGCACCACCGAACCTTTTTTTTACGTTCAGTTATTGGATCAGGAGTTGGGGAGTTGAGACGCTCTCGCTCCTTAAGATAGAGGTTTTCATGGAATGTGGACATATAAATAGTTTATTTCAATAAAAAAATGTTTGCTTTTGCTTAGTAGTTGACGCCCAATTCTTCCGTCATTCCACGAGCTGAAAAGAGGCAGAAAATTAAAATTTGGAAAAAAATAAACAGTACAATGTACAAAATTATCTATCGATACAGTAGAATAAATGATTATTGACATGAGAAGTTACAAAAATACAAGTCATTACAACGGACAAAACTTTGAAAACAACCTAATAGTAACAGCCCTAAAAACATCACCTGTTCCGATTATTTGTTTATATATTTTTCATGGGTCGAAAGTACCCATATTTCAGATTTTTTGAACCTTTAAAAATTCATATCTCTAAAAATATTAACTTCATCTTGAAAAGTCATAGTCAATACAGAATAAAAAAATTATCTGGTTGAAAAAAAAAACAATTACTTGCAGTTGTTTGAACAATTTCGGTTTAAACAATATGGCACTGGGTTGCCCCATGGCAGCATGCATTTATATCATCAGTAGGGTACTTTCAAGAGGATCGCATGAAAAAAATTGAGGTGGGTTCCTATTCAGTACCCATGCGCCAATTCTTTCTTTTCTGGAATATAAGAGTGTCAGGCATCTGTATTTAGTGTCAGGAATCACTCCCTTCGGTAAACCAAGATTTCGAAGACACCAGCCAAGCAGTATTATATTTCAAATAGTCATTGTGGAAATTGAAATTACAGAAATAGTTTACAGATCCTCGCAATTTCCATGAGTTTTAATTTCATGAGAATTTTTTTTCTAGTCTTGAGACCACAGAGCATTTATTGTTTTGTTATTTAATCAATAAAGCAGGAGAAATGATTTCACATACCAGGGTGGTCCCAGAAATACCCGGCCTGACCGAGAGATGGCGGCAGTTGTTTGAAAAAGATCACTGTATTGGAAAGTACACATTCTATAAAGCATATGTTTCAAGGTTGAAGACGCTGCGTTGTTCAGTATTGGTTTGGCAGCTATCAATAGCGAACGATTTCGATGAGTTTGTGAATATGAAGAATATTGGTCATCGTTATTTGAAAGGCGGCAGCTCGAGCAATATAAAATCTGAACTAGATTCTACTCTGGGCGACTCTGCTCCTTTGTTTACAATAGTAAAATATTGGGTAGCGGGGTTTAAACAAGGCCGTAAACGGTGAAGAAAATCCACAAAGCGGTACTGAATGATCAACGACTGAAAGTGCGCGAGCGATGCGGACATGACAAAGCTGTGTGCATGATGGGTGCCGCGTTTGCTCACACACGAGCATGGAGAAACATGGGTCCATCACGTTACACCAGAGCCAAAAGAACAATTAAAACAGTGGTTAGGTTAAGTTACGTCCAAAGCAAGGGTTAATTGTGGCTCATACCTATTCACACTCTACCAAATAAACCCAGCTTCTTAACGAAGCCGATTAGTTTGTATGGTGAGTGGTCTTTCAGGTCAGATGTCTTCCGACAGTCCGAGTGTCTCTGCATATGATGATTCAAATGACAGTGACCTGTAAGAAGGCCTGTTAGACATCGTAGTTCATCCCTACCGTAGTCCAACAACTGTTTGGTATCTAGCTTCGAAGGGTGAATAAACGCCTTGGAGTGAGCCAATCCTGGAATATTCTGCCAGAAGTCTATAAATCCTCTAGCAATCCAGGTGTTCAATCTTTATTTGGCATCTAAAGCGATGCCAATGACAGGTTCTGGTCCAATGAAGCCTCTTGCAGCACCCTCCTTCGCAAGAGAGTCAGCAGCTCCATTGCCTGCCAGGCCAGTATGGCCATGAAACCAGACCAGAGACAATCTGTTACGTTTTCCTATCGAGGAGAGTAATTTTTGGCAATTTGCTACCAATTTAGACGTTGCTCTGTAAGAGCCAAGAGCTTCCAACGCCGTTTGACTGCCCGAGAAAATTTTTATTGACTTGTATATGAATTTGGATTCTACCAATCTCTATCAGAGATTGGAAACAAAAGAACAATCAAAACAGTGGACTCAAAAGGGAGAATCGGTTCCAGAGAAGGCGAACACCGTTTCATCTGCAGGCAAGGTCATGGCATCGGTATTTTCAGATGCGCTTCGGATAATTTTCATTCACTATCTTAAAACAAGGAAAACTATCAACGGCGATTTTTATGCGAACTTATTGCAACGTTGTTTCATCAAGACAATGTATCAGCTCATGAATTCATTATATCAATAACCAAAATCAACGAATTGTAGTTTTAATTGCTACCTCATGTACCCTATTCGCCAGATTTAGTCCTCTCGGATTATTTTCTGTACAGAAACTTGAAAAAATGGATCAGTGGTCAAAGATTTTCCAACGATGAAGAACTGATGTCGCCAGTCAATAGCTATTTTGAGGAGCAAAGCAGTTTTTATTATGAAAACGGTATCGAACGTCGCTGGGAAAAGTGTATAGAGCTGTAAGGAGATTATGTTGAAAAATAGATAATTTTTTTAAAATTTTTGTGTTTTCTTTGTTGGGCCGAGTACTTCTTGGGCCACCCTCGTTTATTAATTTTTTTCAGTATTAGAATAGTATATTGTGTAACAAGTGCGTGAAATCGACTTTTTTACACAAGCGTGGAATTTGCGACACGAGCCCTCAGGCGAGTGTCGCAAACAACGCGAGTGTAAAAAAGTCTTCACGCACATGTTGCACACTATACTTTTTCTACGACCATATAGAGAAAATTAAGCACTATTAGTTTGAAGAGCTTGAAGAGTAGTGGCGATAGGGGCTGAGGAAATTTGATTTTGAGGCCATAAAATTTTATTTGCCACATCAATTTTCTGAGTAATTGAGTTTTCTATATAATGCTCTGCCACTGCAGAGGATTTCCAACCTCCATGTTTTTTAAGGTAAGCAAATCGCCTCCAGCTTCTACTAATAACGTGGCGGATGACCGCCTAAAACGGTGGCCTGTATATTGTTCAGCATGAGGTAAATTTAGGTATTTTGCGATTACCGAAGGAAATTTACCAATCTTATTTATACCAACGATCTGGCAGGTACATTTTCCACCTTGATAATTAATAAATAATTTTTTTTCTGCGTATTTTTGCGGACGGAGTGCCGTATATTTTCGGTATAATTCAAGATGTTCCGTGATGGTAAATTTTCTTGAGATTTTGATTTTTGTATCATGGACGTTTACTATGAGTATTGTACCTAAATCTTCAATATCATCTAATTTCAGTTTATACAGTTCATCTCTTCTAAGAGCTCCAGCAAGTCCAAATATTAGTATAACCTAAAAGAAAAAGAAATTACAATATAGAAACTAAAAAAAGATTATGGCTGTCAGAAATCGAACCCAGGTCCTTGGGCGCGCGAGGCCGACGCACTACCGCTGAACCATTCGTATTTACAAATATATGTGTGAAAACGCGATTCTCAACGCCCAATTCAAAATAATTTAGAAGATCATAGTTAGATATCACATTAACATAGTTTTAGATAATATATCTGATTTGGCCAACTATACTTATTAGGATATACTTTATTTATAGATATTATTTTTTATTTATTTAATACTACCGTGAGACATTAAACTTACCTTGGTCAATAAAAATTTTTCGTTAGGAGCTTCTTGTATAAACTTCAGTAGGTATTTGTTCTTTCTCCAAAACTCTGGATTTTTTGGGAACGTATCCCTCACTCTTCCTTTTTAAAAAAGCACGTACCTTAGGATAGTCAATATTTATGTTTTTTTTTAATGCTGATGGTACTTTTTAGCATTGAGAAATTACTCCAAAGTGTTGCTGCCTTAAAGTTCTTGGATAATTCTGACAAATATGCCAATATTACGTTTTCAGAAAATGAATTGATATTCTTTGTTTTCCTCCATGCCATGAATTTCTCATACGTATTTTCATACACGCTCAATGATTTTTGGGGTAATAAAGCAGCCTCATTGGCTGCATCCATAACATCCGGCGGGGTACTTCGTATATCTGAATGATCAGAATCCATTATAATATAATGTTAAAATATTAATAATTAACTCTCAACAATGAGCTCACAACAATAATGATCAAGCTATTTTGACAGTTTATTTATGATTTATTGCTGCTCCTAAACAAAAGATGCACTAAGGCCGCCTATCAGCGGAATATTCATGTATTAGGTCTTATGGACAGACTACAATATATTTCTTATGAGTATAATTCACGCACTGGTAATAAAAACACTTGAATGTACCATGTTATTCTTATGGGTTTATTTCACGCCCTAGGGCGTGAAATTACATTTTACGATTCGTGAACGGTGTGTGAAAGTACTATTTCACGTACGGGAGTAGAAAAATACATTTTTGCTTTTGAATTACAAACAAAAGTATTTACTTCTTCATTTCAGTTCAAAAAGTTGTATCGCCGTTGGAAGAGTCTGAATATTGAGAAAAATTCTGCAAAATTAGGACTGATTGGACAAATCATCCTGTACGCTGTGCCTGGTCTAACTTTCTTCATTTTCCTTCCGTCAACAATCATAAGTTTTTTCGAAGGATGGAACTATGACGTCGCAGTTTATTTTGCTTTTGTTACCCTCACAACAATAGGCTTTGGAGATTATGTTGCAGGTATGGAAATTGATACATTCGCCATCTGTCAAATTTCAAATTCAGATAGAAAATGGACCACTAGTTGATTGATTATGAAATGAATTAACTTTTTTTTTTATTCATGCCTGTATAGCTTTGTAGTTGAATAACCACGTTTTCAAAAGATGAACATGTCATATTGTAGATGAAACGTTGAAAAATGTTGTCATTAAACAGTCAACAGGCCCTAAAATATATGATTATAATGGAATCTGGTCATAAAAACCTGAGTGAAAGTTTTTTTGAGACATTTTGAAGATACCTTTTGTACATTTTTATTTTTTTACGATAAATCATGTCATCATATCAACAAATTGACCAATTTTCCTGGAACTTATCTGTAAATAACTTTATTCCAAATATCGAAGAGGAGCATTTCAATTTTTCCTGGTCAACTATTATTCAAAAATATTTTTTTCTGTCTATTCTGTCTAGGCTCTCTTCTTAATCAGAAATCACTCAATTATTGAAAACTTAAAAATTTGTAGAATCGTTAGCTCTTGTTTAGATATCATATCACCCAGTTTGAGGATTGGGAATTTTAGAACAAATAAGGATGGTTATTTTTCAATGAAAAACTCTCTATTCTATCCTATTCCACCTCTATTCCATCCATACAATTTTATGATGCATTGGGAGGTATTATTATGAATACTCTGGCCTGGTTAAAATAATAACACTATCCTTGATAATAATTAGAGAATTTTCACACTTTTTTATTTAGGTTCTCTACACGAGTTCTTTTTTCATTAGAGTGAAACCTGTGCGGAAAAAAGATTTCAAATATACCAGTCCAACTGATGACGTTACCGTGTGTCGAAACGCTTCTTAAATAAAATTCATTGTGTTTTATTCTGAAAACAATTTATCTCAGCTTTATTTGACAATTCGTTTTTATTTCAGGTGTTCAGAATGTTCACGGATTTGATCCATTAATAGAAGCTGGTTATCAAATATTTTTACTGGTATGGGTAATAGGAGGCATAGGTTACGTCCTGATGGTAATTGGTTTTATTACTCAAGGTATGAGAAGTAAAAAGATAGCAAAAATTGAAAAAATGCTATCAGAAAATATAAAAAGAACCCCTCATAAAATCCGACATGAATTACGTACACTTCTTCACGAGTTCCTTTTCATGAGAGTGAAACCTGTATACAAAGGAGATTTCGAATACACCCCGACTATCCTAGAAAGAAGTCAAAGTTGTCCTGACTTGACTATCTGGAGGAAGAAGGATTCTCCATCCTTGGCCAGGAAGAGAGCGATGTCCGAATGTTACAAATACAACGTATTGGAGAAGGTCCAGTCCGAAACAGAATTAGACAAAATCGACAAAGAGAGAACATTCAAACCCTCTGACGCATTTATGAAACAAAAAGATCTTCTACTTAAAGTTGTTGATGCTCTGAGTGCAACAACCAGAACTCCAGGCGAAGGTGGTATACATTGCTTCTCAGACAGGGAAATCCTTGCCAGCGAACGGTATGACGATCCTCCAGACTTCAAGCCACAAAGAAGGCGCGCCATGAGCGACATTAAACCTCCCCTTCCCCAATACTCGAGCCAACAGACACTCAATACTTGGTACGGAGAGGACGCTGCAAAGGCCATCAATTTCTACCGCAACAAACGTGCATGGTCTGTTGCCAAACCAAATGTTGAGGAGGATAAACCTACATTCCTTCAACGGATTCAACGCCTGAAAAATGTTTTCAGAAAAGACGATAGAGATGTGGATGTCGAAAAGCAAAACGAAGAAAATATCCCAGAGAAAAAGAGTAGAGCATTTTCCATTGTATCACCTGAGGTTAGTAGCGCCCGAAGAAACTCCATCAGGGCTATGCGTCAGGGACAAGTTTTAGAACAAACATCTATAGCTGATTTCATCAGAGCGCTCAGTGCTATTACAGTGTCGGACAATTTACCCGAGGACCAACCCAGGAGGAAACTTGGCACGGCAAGTTTGACTCCGCCGAATTATTCTCCGAAATCAAGGAAAATGTCTATCCTGCCACATATTTCCAACAGAAGAACATCTTTAATTCCAACTTCCCACATAACTCCAACACCTAGAAGATTGTCCTTGAGACCGGTAGAAGAAAATATCCTGAACTTTCCTAGTGAGCAGTGCCCGCCCATATCGGAAGCAATGAACTCATTCGGTGTCGGAAGGACAGGTAGAAGGTTCTCAGTGAAGCCTACGAACACTTCCAATTTGGTGTCGTTTGTGAACAGCCCAGTGAAAAATCAAGTGAATAGACGAAAACGACACGATTCCTAATGTATATAGAATGAGTCCGTGGTATCACATTTTGACGATGAAAGTGATTCTGGAAAATTGCCTATTCATGGTGAATGGCGATAACTGTGATAATATTCAGAGTTGGATAACATTCGAAATAGGCGTTTGTAGTGTCTAATAAAGTTTAGCAACTGAATTTTAGATTGAAATATCATCAAGTTGGTTCAAGTGGATGATAATTTGAATATCTTATCACTTATCATTTATCTGAAATAGTGGTTACAAAATTTAGTCACACGGCGCCCATATGCGACACACCGCCACCATCTCCACAAAAAAGTATAAACGAGAAAGCTTTCTACTTATTTGAAATAAGAATTATGCTTAATAACTACATCTATAGATGTTTATTTTTTCATCTTTACCTTTTCCTTACTGTCGCCATCTGTTTGTTACGATTAGGCTACACTGACATCTGACATATTGAAGCATTAATTTCGGTGTTGCCAGACTGACGGAAGATTCCGCGAACACCAATTAAATTTTTCCTAACTTCTGCCTTATCTACACTCGTAAGGGGTATTTTCTGAAATGCATTTTATTATAGTTCTATTAACTCACAACTTTGATAGCTGAGGGAAGCTGAACTCGCGTAAACTTTCAAACGCAAAATAATTTAGCGCCCACCTTTTGAGCTTGAATGGAAAGGGGTTCGGCATTTTTCAGTTAGGAATCAAAATACATTGCACTAGACTTCTGAAAAGAACTGATTGGGAACTTATTATTGCTAGAGATAGGGAGTGAAAAGTCTGCAACGAAATATACAGTGTGTATCAGCAAAATAAAATTAATTCCATTAGGGGAGTTTTTAGTCATGTACTTTTTCTACAGAAGAATTCATACAGGGTATGTCATATAACAGTGGCCAAATACAGATACTGTATTTTATTCAATTTTCGGACTGTCAAAACATTTGTTATATGTACATATACGTTCGGGTTATTCAATCTATGAATACAGTCTTAGACCTTGGATTATAAGGTTATAAATTATATTGATTTTTGAAATATATTGTTCTGAAAACTCCAACAATTGCATGCATATTTCATTCAAAATGAGAAAAACGTAAACTAACATCCAATGAAACTCGTTTGTTTTAGGGGTGATAAAATAATTGTTTTTATTTCAATCTGAGAAATCAGTTGCTTCACTTGAGGATTTTATCCGGCGTTCCTGTACATGTGATTTATAAATATATTTCTAAGTAATGTGCCTATTTTAAATATAAGCACCCCAGTAAGATTAGGAAATGAATGGTAGGGATGTAAGCAAGAAACTATTTATTTGAGGTTCATTAAAAAAGAGTCCAATTCCTTTGATGCCTTCTTTCTAGCAACTTATGTACCTGTAGTGAAACGATAATATGTAACGTTATTCTTTTGTGAAATGGAATTGGCTGATTGTACTGCAAATTTTCTATTGGTAAATGGTAGCAGTGTACGTTTTTGTGATGACACCGCTAATTAATGAACATTTTTATAAAATAAATCCACAAAACTACTGATGTTGTTCCTCAATTGAGAAACTTTCTTGAACTGTGAAAAAATGCAATTTTCTGATAATGTATAGCAATTGTTATCAAAGCAATTAAAATGATGAAGGCATTTCGAAATATTAATTTTGCCTAATTTAGATAAAAAAGCATTATTATCTTTTCAGCAATCGAAATGTTGTGGTATAAGGAAACTGATATAAATTGAAGCGGGTATAATTTTAGAATAGTTTATTTTCTGGGAAAAAAGGATTTAGCTTTCTATTTCTCCATCTTGATACAAAAAATGTAGGAATCTGCCGAAGAAAGGAAAGAAGCAATAATTGAAAAAGTAACTCTATAACAAAGATATGTAGATCATGCAAAGAACTAACTTTCAGACACAAACTGAAAGAAAAGGCCCTCTCCAAACTGTTATTTTCATATAAACATTGAATTACACGAAAGAAAAATACTATTGAAACAAATATTTTTATATGAACATAAAATTACGACTTTATGTCAGGAAATGAGTTCAATTTACTCATGTCATCAATGACACTATGTAATGACATTCATTAGCCTATTTGATTAAATCAAGATGAAGAAGTAGAAAGCCAAATTCTTTTTTTCTTTCCCAGAAACTAATATATTCTAAGGGTAAAAATTATATAACCTTATGTAATTTGATAACAACCAATAATATCTAAAAAAGTTTTCATCTGTACCTATTGACATCCTATGTTTGAAAATAATTTTCTTTTTTATGTGTAAATCTAATCAGCTGAAAACCACTGATGAAATCTATAGATTGCTCAAATATCATCGCTGGCTAATAATGGAAAACGAAAGCGATGACTTTGCGCTTTGACTTTCAATCTGATTAGTGTTAGTTTGTATCTTTGTTTTCTCCTGAGGAAAGGTATGGTAGATTCGTTTTGTGACCTACAATGCACCACTCTCTCACACAACATGTAGAAGTTTGAGAAATGTTTCGTCGTTCAAAAGTGTTGAACAAACTCGGAAAATTTTATTTATTGTATTTGAAAATATCTGTCTCTCCGAAAAACTTTCAGTGACTATCACAGGATATCGTAACTAATATTCTCCCACAGACCCAGAAAGTGTTTTTCTGAATCTCTGAAAATAAATTTGCACAAAATCACTATTCCCCTATCAAATCGTGACTGAAATGAAAAGTTCTAAATATTATGTATCAATGTTGAGTTTACTCATTTCCCTACGTATCTTATCTACTATGTTTTATTTGTTAAACAGGTAGCTCAAGTTCATTTTTATTTTGCCAATTTACGTTGAGTACCACATTATATGATTACCGATTATCTTGGTGCACACATTAAATAATTGATTATAGTAGGAATCTGATTGTTTGGTAAATGAAAAAAGTCCAAGCTAGTCGCTACAAATATAGATGTGACCACATAACAATCCTCTCACTGTAAACTACTTGGCAGATAACCTGAATGAACGCTGTGAGCGAGGATGGGAGTTGAAACAAGTGTTACCCCGATTCTTTAACAACTCTAAGTTAAGTGAAATATGCAGTTAGTCCGCAACTCGTCTGCCATCCATATATACACTATCAGGCAAGTTTATTTGTACACATCGACTACAGTTTGTGTGTTTGTAATACAAAGTAGCGATTAGGCTTTGGGCTCTTAAATCATTGAATTCTGTAAAACTATTTAGAGACGCATACTATATTATACTACATGATGAATTAAGACGAAGTCAATAGCTTTTTTGAGGAGCTAATAAAAAAGTGAAAGCTTTTAGAAAATGTTGCGTTAGTGCAAGGAATTGCAACTGAACCAGCACAAATGTTATCACTAACATACATATACAGATAGAACCATATACATAATAATATGGACTGAGAGTGACGATACTTTTGCATATATTTCACCTGCCGATTGCCACTGCCTCAAGGCTACGATTATGGATATACATGTTTTTATGTCCATAATCGTTGGGCCCAAGAATCCCAGAATTTTCACAATGCAAATATGCAACACGTAAAACATCGTGACGTATTTGACGTTGAACATATGAGTGACGTAAATGCCAAAGCGTGAATCTCATCATCCTTTTTTAGTTGTTGGCGTCAATATATTCTCTTTAACGACCAGTCCATTATTATGACGTCACTAGATAGAACTAACAAAATTATGGAGGGTAGAGATAAGGAGCACTCTCACATGAGAGGAAGCTTAAAAAAGTGTCCAACTTTCAGCACTAAAAAACAGTTCAAAAATCCTCATACAGGGTATGATATGAATTAAGTTCATCAATATAACTTAAAAGTATTGCTGTGGTAAAACGCGGAGACATCGATTGAATTTTCTTATCAGCTTTGAATAATACTTTTTGTGATATTGTTGTGCTTTCTGTTAAAACGAATTGTAAGCCATAATGGACAAATTTGCGTGGTGAAAAGTTGTCCAAGTGGGCGTAACTTGAAAAATATAAATAATAATCCACTTCAGTCTCTGTCATACTTCCATCCAAAAGTATGTATAATAATTTTTAACAATTTTATATAATGAAGTTTGAAAAAAGTCACCAATGAAAAATTTTCTTTCAATTGCTTCGTAGAAAAAAAATTGGATCTCTCTTAGGTTTAACGTCATTTTATTTATGTATTACTTCCTAAATGTAATATTGATCAAGCTTTAAGAAAAAATAAGCAAACAATTGATTAGCAAACTTTGGTTATTATTTCAATCTTATTTTGAAAAGTGCGCTATAACGAGATGGAATTTCTTTCGCCATAACTTTTTTAAATTTATCCTGTTGCTACTGTAGCGTCACCCTTATTTAGCACATTTTAACGTACACTTTTTCACACACAGAGATGGTCCTTCTTATCTCTACCCTCCATACTAACAACTCAACTGAACCTCAGAATCCTCAGATTGTTTACTATTCCGTGACTGAATAAGAAACGCAAAGTACACGCACGTGACACCAACGACGAGCGACTGATGCATAAAGGCGCGTACATATGACCTCCATCGTGCATGTGATAATTGTCGTCTTGTCGCGATGCAACAAAACTAGTGACTTCTAAAGGCGTTGACTCCTCTCTATATTTTTCGCTTTTGCTTCTATTCTGACGCGTTAAGCTAAATGCTTTAGCTTTCCACTGTGATTAAACCATGAAGGCATTGACTTATATATGCGTTTTCATGCATCAGTCGGACGTGACCAGTGTCGCGGCTTTCTCCAACTCTGTCACCGGGAAATTGCAAAACGCGACGCGACAGGTAATTCAAGAGTTCATTGTTTCGAATGTGCGCTTTTATGCATACGATTATGAATCACGTCGCCAGCTCTGTCTGAATATGTATGTTAATATAATACCTATGTTGATATAATTTTTTTTTTAGTTCAAACGCAGAACAAATTCCAAACCTTGCAGCAACTGCACATCAAAAGAGGCTATCGACATACGATTAAAATAAGAAAAAATGTTTTGTCGTTTTTTTTCATTTATATGACATTTATTTATGACATAAAATATTCAGTTCATGGCTTTTTTTATTGAGACGTACTTGTTTGTAAGAATAATGTCAACTCATTGGTTCATTTATTTCGACAGATTTCATTTGAAGTTGACATGCATGAAGAAAGGCCTAATTGATTGTTGACAATGTTTTGGGAAAAATATAAGTTCCTGCCCTTCTCTCTATTGGATATAATGCTCACAACTGTTGCATGTATCTCCAATTGCCGCATCACGACTTGTTTCTGTAGTTGACTGTGCCATAATAAATAATCAATATAAAGAAAATGAAGTGCAAAGTTCTCAAATTTATTAACATGTCAATTTTCATTTACAAATTCAAATTTCTTCACACAAAGTGTAACACACAGCATAGGTTGGTATTAACTATTGAAATGGACTGAAAGTGGACGTTATACAGTTTAGAATACAAAAACCATACGTGTTCAACATTCAAGCTATATAAAGCTGAAAACACTTCTGAATTCATCATTTCACAGGGAGAAATGTGAATAGAAAATCTTACTTCACTTTGTGAAAGAAATATTGAATGACGTCAGACCTAAATACTACATACTATCAATCATAATAGTGTAATTTTATATGGCATATTATAGTTTTTAGGTTCCAGTCCTCAAATTACACTCTATAAAACAAAATGGCAATGAAATGAGTGCATTGAAATCACACAGATATGAACAAATATATATTGAACTTTCAGAAGATAAATTAAAATAAATACAATGTTTATATACAATTATTAGTGAGGTAATCTACTCCCCCTTGAGATAACAATTATTTCCTACTATACGGTAAGGAACTGTCTTAAAATTATTCACTGGTTCGAAAATGAACCAAAAGTCGAAATAATAGGATGCTAAATAAAAGTTTTTCCCTGAAAATCATATATTCTTGATGGTTACCATAAAATATGTCAGTTGTTGCATAAAGAGCAAGTTGTTTAACTCTTTGTGAAAATTCAGTTCTTAAAACCAAACAGACTGATTGGATAATCAAACTATTTATCAACGCAGTGAAAATTTTGCGTTTTCTGAAATTTATGTTTTTGAAAATGGGTTATATATCTTTTCCAGAGACTCAACTGAAGAATACCAATCACAAGTTATTATGTTTCTCTAAAACTCGAAGATACCCATTGCAAAATTCAGCATCCTAGTATTTTATTGTCCAGATCCCCCCAGACATTTCTGATATAACTCAGTAGTAGATATTTCTGGAATATACAATTTTCTACCGAGTCACCAAACTCTTTCAAGTCTTTTCTACTGCCCCCTTGGCAACTTCCGGCGGCTCATGTAGGGTCAAAGGTGGACTTATCGTGATTGGCTGCTGTTCCAGCATTGCCATGAATATTTTTATCAGGTTACTGATACCGATGAGGTATCCGTCTTCGTGATTTCCGACTTTCCACTTGGAGTTGTGAGTGATTTTAACATTCTCTGGTAGAACGATAGTCTTTGCAAAGTCGATCAACCAAACGTTTGCGTTGTAACGATCGTGAACGAAGAGGAGCGAACTGCCAATTACCTGGAAAAATAAAATTTAATACAAAATGGACTGGTCGAGGAGATATTATCTATTCGATTCAATTTTGTCGGCAGTGGAGAATCTGCCCTATACAGAGCGGGGACCATCTAAGGATTTGAGTACTCGAAAGACTTCAGTACTATCGAACATTTTTGAGTATACCATGCGACCACAAAAGGTTAATGTATTGGATGTGGGAACAATAATACAATTATTGTTCCATATATGTTTTCAATGAAAATTACAAGGAGCAACTTGTATCTCTATTTCTCACGAAATAAATAAATTCCTCTTTGATCCAGGGTCTTACTGATATTCAAATATACAAAAGAACCTTTCCTGATCGGTGGATAGGTAAGGGAGAAACGTAGATCTACGTAGCCGTAAATCATCTGATCTTAGGCCCTTAGACTTATGGGGTTGTTTACAATCTAAAGTCAACATAATGGGCAATTTTCGTTACTCAGAAGACCGAATCAGGCAGCAAATGTAGAACACAATCCCAGCTTTGCCACAAAATGAGATAGGATTTTGATGCTGGTCGCATTTCAATAAATTATTATTTTTATGTATATATTATTTATGAATTATTTCTAAAAAGAATACATTCACGTTTAACTTTCTACTTGAATTCAAAAAACTTTTGATTTGTGATACATTTTTGGAATCAAGTCATCAAGGTAACTTCGAAAATGTTTGGTAGTGTTCCATTAAAAGACAGCAAAGAAGGTAGGTCACCTTTTGTATCAAATCATCATTTTAAAAAACATAATATTTATTGATATTGTTTATTTAGCGAATATGTGCCAATGTGCTACTTCATGGATGCACTGGACAGCTACAGGTTACCAAAGTTATTTAGTAACCCGTTGTATGAATTTTCATCGTTATGAAATGTATATTAAAAAAAAACTGAATTTCATTTTTTTGATAAATTGTTGAACTGCTGTTGCGTTCTATCTATTTAAAATAGATTATAACTTATTGTATACTTTTGATTCATAGAAGATAGATTGTTTTGAGTGTCGGTGTTTTTCGATTATCTTTCAGTAATAAAAATCAATCATATTTCAAATTTTTGCTATTTGTTCTCAGTAGCATGTTCCTGAAGTATACAGAACTAACATGTCACTGAAACCAATAGACGGATTTCGTTGGTACAATTAGGGACTTGACGGTGGAGCTGACGGATATCCTGTTGTATCCTTGTTTACTAATGTCCCACGGAAAGACTCTCTGAGAGGGCTAGCCCACGTGTTTCCGAGTGATATAGTCGAACTCTTTAGAGCATGTCTCATAGGAAGTTACTTTCAATGGAGGGTAAACTTCTATTAGCAACTAGATTGCGTGGCGACCTAGACCATTTGAACAATCAACACCCAAGCATCAAGTTCATCATGGAAACTGAGAAGAATCATCAGCGGATAGCATTTCTAGATGTACTAACCGAACTATGTTGTGCTAGACTAATCTACAAAGTTTACCGAAAACCCACGCACACGGATAGGTACCTGCACGCACTATCGAACCACCATCCTAGCCAGAAGACAGGAGTCATCTCCACTCTAATGGAAAGAGCTTGAAGAATATGTGAACCAAATCATCTAGAGCAAGAACTAGAACATCTTCGATTGACTTTGAGATCGAATGGATACAGTGTACCCGAGATCAGCAAAGCCATAAAATTGAAAATTCATACAGTTCTAAATGAGGTGGAGGACCAGATGGTTGCACGCGCGTATGTACCATATATCCCTATGATCACAGAGGGAATTGGAAAACTATTGGGGAAACACGACATTGAAACAGTTTTCAAACCCAGCAGGAAGTTACTACAAAGCCTCAGGTCGACAAAAAACAAAAGAAATCCACAATCAGCAGCAGGGATCTATCGCATATCGTGCACTTGTGTTGCATATATCGGAACCACCAAAAGATATATGGGAATAAGTCTGAAGAAGCATTGAAGAAACTGCAGATTAGGTCAGACGGACAAGTCAGCTGTGGCAGAACACGCGATCAATGAAGGAAACCACAGGATTCTGTTTGAAAACATAGAACTCATTTTCAGCAACCAGGATACCAAAGCCGACCGGTAGAGGAGGCAATAGAGATCCACATACACACGGATAATTTCAAGAGGAAAGAGAAGCGGTAAACCTCAATCGAATATGGAATTCCGTTCTAAGAAGTTCAAGGATGGCAAACAGCATGACATCATTTAGAAAAGAGTTAATGAATGTTTTTCCCAAACAACAAAGAAATTTGATCATCTTTCACATTAATGAATCGAAGAGGTTTTGTATTAAAGTGTATAATATATTAAAATTCTTGCAAAGCGCTTTCGACTTTTGTCATCATCAGTGCTCACTTGTCAGGCAACAGGAATAAGTCGAAAGCGCTTTGCAAGAATTTTAATATATTATACACTTTAATACAAAACCTCTTCGATTCATTAATTCAAATAAGTGTATTCAGCTTTTCCAAATCCTTTTATCTTTCACATTGTTGGGTGTACGTTGTTTCATTAAAGATTTTCATCAAATCACAAAAAACAAATACAGAACATTCCGTTTCTAAATAAAAGCGGCTCTTACGACTAGATTAGAGATATGCACCTCTTTTATAATAGCATTTAATCAATAGATAAGAAAGTACTTACTTCATGTGAATTGAAAAAATCTGAAGTCTCCAGGGTTGCTTTTATAGCTTTCAGTCTTTGAATATACTTAGGCTAGAACAAAAAACGTATCATTGAAATAATCTTCGAGTAGTAAAATAGTGTTTGTGATATAAGTTTGTGTTGTTGGTCCACATATAGGCCACAATCTCACTATCACATATGCTTTTTTGGTAACACTACCAAGGATGTTAGAGAAAAAAATTAAATAAAATGGTTCTCCAAGAAGATATAGGGAGTCGGTTGAATAGCGGCTGGGTTGCTGCTAAGGAAAAAATGAAAATTACTGAATGATACTTTTTGCTTGTATCTTCTTTATTTTTTCCAAATTCCTAGAAAACCTGACTAGAAATAGAGTCTTGGTATACCACCACATTTTGGGTATTTTGAGTTTCATTCATTAAAATAACGAAGTATCAATGATTTTTTTAGAATCAGCTGTGATACATATTGTTTTCGAATACCAGCACTGCAATGAAAAATATAATAATTCTTTCAAGGAATATATCAAATCACAGATACTCCCAGAATATGATACTATATGAAAATTACGTAATAAAATATTGCCACCAAAATACAGGTGTGCATTCAAAACTTAAAAGTTGAAGGTAACCCCAAGTGTATAAAAGTTCTGATAATTGAACATTTGTATGAATACAACTAGAGATGAAACGGATAGCAGGTTATCTGGAAACCAGATATTTGGCCAACCTTCTGGCGAAACGTTGCCATTTGGTGCATCGCAAGAAGCATACGCAAAAAACATACGGATCTTTCCGTTTATGAGTAATATTAACAATTGTTTCATTCATTTACCTATTGTATTGCAGTGAATATACCTTTCAGCACCCTTGAGGCACTGCGTACAGCAAAAGACTTTTCGCTGAAGCTGTATTAAGAGGTAGCAAGCGAAACCATTTGCTACCTCTAACCGATATTCGGCTAGATAGGCGCTAGTTATCCGGAACTCAGCCGGATAGGATTTAGGCCGCCGGATAAGCCAGAAACTGAATAGTTACCGGATATCTGTTTCATCTCTAATTACAACCTCAATTCATCAAGATAATTTTAACACAAATGAGTTATTTGTCAATGAATTATGGCACTGCTTCTTAAAGAGTGACTTGTGCGAATAACATACGAAGATGGTCCCAGAAGTATTCGGCCTGACACAGAGATGGACGTAGTTGTTCGAAAAAGATTACTGTATTGAAAAGTACATAATATATAAAGCATATGTTTCAAGTTTGAAGACGCTGCGATTTTTAGTATTTATTTGCCAGACATCAATAGCGAACGTTTTCAGTGAATTTGTGAAAATGGTAAAAATTGGTCATCGTTATGTGGAACTTCTATTTGAAAAGCATCAGTCCAACCAATATAAAAGCTGAACTGAATTCTACTCTGCACTACAGGAAATTGAGTATTCACAGCAACAAGGCAGAATTTTTGCATCGTTTAATAACCATTGATGGAACATGGGTCCATCACTTTACATGCAAAGTCAAGGCATCGGTTTTTGGGATGCGCGTGTAATAATTTTCATTGACTATCCTAAAAAAGGTAAAACCATCTACGGTGAGTATTATGCCAACTTATTGCATCGGTCGAGTAAAGAAATCAGCAAAAACAGCAAAAAGCAAAAACAGCCATGGTTGGCTAAAAAAAAGTGTTGTTTCCCATCAAGACAATGCATAAGCTACAAATACATTATTGCAATGACCAAAATTAACGGAAAGTTTGAATTGCTACCACATGCACCCTATTCGCCAGATTTATCCCCCTCGGATTATTTTTCATTATAAAAATGACATCGAAATTATTGCTGTAAAAATTGTATAGAGTCGCAAGGAGATTATGTTGAGAAATAAATAATTTTATTCAAGAATTTTTATGTTTTCTTTGTTGGGTCGCGTACTTCTGGGACCTAAAAAGACATTCAAACTTACAATTGCATGTGGAAAACCTTCAGTGAACTTTTCGAACGCAGCGATAACTTGCTCTTTGGTTTTGGTAGTTTTGAAATCTTTCGTTGAAGTACCATCCGCACTGCGGATTCCTTCTATTCTGAAACCGAGTGTCGCTGTTGAAGAAATGGTTTCCCGCCAAACCATGTACCGCGGCTTCGTTACTCCTTTCATTTTGTGTTCTTCTTCAGTCGGTGCGTTCTGGTCGATTTGGCACATTTTCTCGTACATATCCTAGAAACGAACAGCATCAGAAAAACTCCAGAGGCGTATGTCCATAGAGGCTAATGCCCCCGGAACGTAACACCAAACCTAGCATCGAACACTACGTATTTAAATTATTCAACAAATTATCGTCATAAAAATTACGTCAGAGCAAACAATTCGCTCTGACAGCCGATGAATAATAGACAAACTTGATCTTAGATTCATTTCAAAAAATATTAAAAAATATTTTTTTGTTGCGTTGCGTTGTTGTGGCTTTACTGTAATAAGGTGCAATTTTTTAAAATTCTCATCTGAATAAAAGGGAAAACAATTTCTCAACTAACCATTTAAATAATAATAAAATAAAGAAATGTATAAACGAGGATCTTTTAATATTTTTTTCTTGACAATAAAATATTACTTCATTATTATATACCAGACTGTCTGCTTAGTTATTGAAAAACTGCACTTAACGTCAATTATTGCCTTTGTTAGTTGCAAAAACGGCTATATTATAATATTTGTATAATATCACAAGTAGTCTGGAACATCAGTGGAATATTGGAAATTTGTCTGTATTGTACCCGCTTTTATATCAAAACTTTTTATAAAACTTCTCGGTTGAAGCGTTGTTCTTGTTTAATGATTATTATTTTCCATTTTCATCATTTTGAAAAAAAAATCGCTACTTTCATTCAGTAGTTGTAGCCCTCACTGATATGACGAGAGAATATCTGATTAGTTTCAATTATAAAAACTTTTTTTTGGTCTGATTCATGTGGCACACTACTGTCTTGGTTGAATTAAAACCTTCAAATAATCCGATAACAATCCGATTAGAGCTTCAAAATGTAAATTCTCTGAAGCATTAGAATATTGTTACGCATATGAGTCTTTTTTGGCAATTGATATATTTTACATCTTCAATTAACGCTACAAACCCTACAACGTAATTTGTTAGATTGCAAGTGTGAGGATTGAGGGTGGACCAATTTGTCTAAATTTTCAATATCTGCCCCATACTCGTCAATGTCTCTTTCATTCATTGATGTCTGCTTTAATTCACTCCGGTATTACTGTTTCTGGTTTACTATAAACATTCAACTGGTAACTGTAACTAGTCGAAACAACTAGAATGTTCTACCCGTTCGCAATTACTTATACCCATATTTAAAATCATAGCAAGCAAACAGATATCATTTCGCTGTTGATGAGGGCCGTACTCGCCTACTGGCACTATTTGAAATAATATTATACATTAGATTGATTGACAAAGCACAGGGGATGCTATTTGAAATAACACAGTTGAAAGTTTACCATCATGACGTGTTTGAAATTTCTTTGTTATTTAGGTATACCTAGAGAAACAAAAATATTTTTTGATATATTTAGAAACGTAAGAAGATCTGGCCCGAAATAAATGAGGGTCTGTTTGAAAATCAAGCTTCGTCGTCTACATAGCAAAAAATAACAGTTTTCAGTTTTTTCTATACTTTGAGTAACCTACAGTTCAACAAAGTTTTAAGAAACTTATTTTCCTAATAAACTGATTATCTATTTCTACATTTCCAAATAGTTTATGATAGAAAACTGTAATCGAATGAGTCAAGTAACTAATGGTAACTCTTCAATTTCAGAATCTTACTTTTCTTAATTTGGGCTTTTCTTTCGCTTTTGCTAGTTCTTCTTCCAGATACGTTCTTACTCCAATCTTGCAGTCCATCACGCAGGGAGTTACGAAGTCGCCCAGAAGGTCTTGTAGTTGTATATAGGAACACTCTCCGTCGTCACTAGCTACCAGTCCTTTGTATTCAGGTACATAAGGCCTTAGAACATCTTTCATCAGAATCTGCGAAAAGTACTTGTCAAAACAAACATTTCATCGAATACACTATATCTATTGAAATGAAAATATGTGTTTCGCTCATAATGGGGGTCATCAAATGATTTCCTAATATTTATAATCTTCACCTGCTTTTAACATGTAATTGCGAATTAGTACGAACAGAGAGCTGTTAGCAATGGAACCTGAAAAGTAGACTTTTCTGAAAGACGGAGACTCAAAATTTATATTCTTCCATACTAATCAAAATATACCAACTGAGGTTGTATGTTGTTGAAAAATTCAATATTATAATATCTTTCAAAACGGCCCATACACTTAAACAAGCTTTTGGCAACGCGAAAGACAAGATGATGCAAAAGGAAAAGTTTTTCAGGAAATAATCTGTGAGGATGTAATAAAAAAATATGTTAGTCAAACTAAGCGGACTATACGCTGCCTATTCAAAAAATAAGGTGAATTTTCATGTTTATCAAAAAAAATATTTCCAATCCTGGAAAAAGTTCTGACATGCACTTTCGAGTATGTCCTTAATCTCCCAACGCTTCAGTTTTAATCTTCTCAATTGTCGCAAAACGCCGTTCTTTCATGGGTTTCGTGAATTTTCGTACTAGAAAAAAGTAACATAGGGCCAACTCTGTTGAAAACGGTGGCTGACGGAGGCTCACGGTGATGCGTTTGGTCGAAAGCAATGACGAGTGAGCAGGTGCATTATCGTGCATTATGGCAAACGCCATGATACCGAACGTTTTCTTCGTATTGTTTCTCGCAAACGGTGCCTAACTGTAAGATAATACTCCTTATTGACCGTACAATCATGTGGCAAGAAGTTCTGATGAATTACGCCACTATAATCGAAGGAAACAGTCAGATAAAATTCGAATTTTAATCGAATTTGGAGTGTTTTTTGGTCTTCGCTTTCCTGGGTCCTTCCATTGGAACGATTGGACTTTGGTTTCGATGTTATATACCCATGACTTGTCCCTAGTTATGACCCTTTTAAGCAAATCTGGGTCACCGTTGACGTCATTCAATAATTCCTGAGCATTGCTCATGCGACGGTTTTCCTGCCACATGCATATGACTTTACACATAGCTGAAGGTCGTGTGCCGTCAGTCAAGGTCAAGGTCGAGTTGTGGGGGAAGGTCCTCAAACGGTCTTAGGCCCCTACTCGATACATGCGCAAAATTTCCGAAAAAATTACATGGCATGAACTCAGTGATATGCCGACATCCTCAGCAACTTCTCTAATAATGCCTCGGCGATTCTCTATAACAATTTTCTTCATTTTCCCAACATTTTCATCGGTTGTTGGTGTGCTGGGACATCCAGGGCGAGCGTCGTCATTCACATCTTCTCGACCGTCTGTGAAAAGCTTGTACCACTTGTAAACATTTTTCTGACTCATAGTACAATAATCGTATTTATTCCATTTTTCACAGAAAACTGACGCAAATTCTTTTAGCCATTTTTTTCTATAGAAGAAAAGATACCTTTATGCATCATTATCTACAGAAAGATACCACAATTGGAAAATTAAAGTCACGGAATGTTTATCGAAAATTAATAATACATTTCGACTTTATTTTCGATACAAAGTTTATCACAATTGGTCAGGATTTTTGTCATTTCACTCAGTATTTGGCTGAACCTTGTTATTTTCCAACTGGTGAAATGGTGATATTGATGTAAGACGATTTTATGGAAGGGTAGTAATGGGGGAAGTTTATTCTATTCTCCATTTTTTTTCAACTCAAATTCTAAAATTTCAATCAAATGATGAACATTCAATACTCTACTTGCAGCAATTTGACATCATAATTTTTGTGATTTTGCTAAGTGAGATACAAAATCTCAATTTAGCCATCTAATCTAGGGGGCCATATGTCGAGAGTTCAGAAAAATACACGTATTTATACCAGTATTTATACCAGGGTTATCATAAATCTAAATGATTAATATCAACTAAATTTCATTTTTCATTTATTCAACATCTTCATACCTCACCTTGAAACATTTCTCTTCTTTCGCGCAAAGCTTTTTCAGGATGGTTCCTTGATCTGGACCGGCCTTGAAGTTTCCTTGATGTCCTGCTAGCTGTACCCAAGGATATCTTTGCTTCTTGTAGGTTTGGAAGAACGGTGTCCATTGCACTATATTCCTCAACTTCCTCCACCCTGATGGCTACAAAAAAATTGATTATTCAGGACTGCGTATTTGCCATTTATTTAACGGAAACGTGGTTTGATATGTCATAGATCAAGAAGGCGATATGAGTGAATACATTATTCAATATTCCGGAATATTTACGTAATGACTGTTTCATTGGATTATTCTCAAAGATTAAAAACATGATTTACTGGTGCGTTTAGAATACAATGAAGCGAATATTTGCCTTTTACAATTATTTTTACTAATATAAGGTCTTCAAATTTAAATAAAACAAAGTATATACAGGGTGGGCCATCGAAAACTTGACATGGAGGTTTTGGGTACTAATCTTACAAATCCCAAAAACCGCTCAGACAGGTCGATTTTTATTGGGAGGGGAAACAGTTTTTTCCCATTTACAGATTCGTCACTTCAACCCCAGAGCAGAGGGGTGAACAATCCTCGGAATTTTAATAGGAAATAGGGGGCGAGTCGCACCTCGTTCGAAAGATCTTGGAATTCTCTAAGCAATGGCGTACATTTTTTTAAATTTGGTCGTATTCAAAAGAGTTTTTTCCGATGATTAACTTTTTCAATATTGTTAATAGCAACAAATTGTTGTACGCCACTGCTCATATGAAATGTATTTGGAACTCTTTCATTTGTTTCTTACGCTACTTTTTTGTTAATTTTTTAGTTTTTCTCTGATAAGGGGACTATTACAAATGAGGAATAACTGAAAATGCTGTTTCTATTTCTCATTTTTATTTTAAAAGTGATATAATAATAATAATAATAATCGTCTTTATTGTTACCCAGCTGTAGTTACATACAAATATTTAAATAAATTAGAGAGCTAGTTGCTGACATAACATAAGTTCAACTTAGTTAGCACAAGTGCTACTGAGTTATTATCATTATCTACATTATTACTAGTAGTGAGTGCAGTAAAGTGTTGCTAAAGAAACAATGGTTTACACAACTGCAGAGAGGGTTGAGTTGATTGAACTGTACTATGGAAATAGACGTTGTGCTGCGAGAGCCGCTGAACCGTTCAATCAACAACATGGAAAGAATGTGTCGCGACAATATGTTTTCGATTTAATTGCAAAATTTCGCGCAACTGGATCTGTAGCAAATAAAAAACGGCAAACCAAACCATCAGGCGACATAAGTGGCAATTCTGGGCCATGTTGAGCTTGACCATACTTTGAGCACAAGAAAATTAGCATTTGTTTCCGGGGTGTCACGGACTAGCATTCGGCGTATTTCAAAAACCCACAAAATGCATCCTTACAACATTAAATCAACGCAAGAACTGAATGAAGATGATTTCGATCGACGCTTGCAGTTTTACCAGTTGTTTAGTGAACGAGCGGTGGAAAATCTACATTTTGTTTTCCACGTTTGCTTCAGTGATGAATGTTCTTTTTCTATAAATGGTACAGTTAATCGCCATAATTGTCGCTATTGGGCTGATTCGAATCCTCACATTTTTCATGAAGTGCATACTCAACGTCCACAAAAATTAAATGTATGGCTGGAATTTTTGGTAATCGTATTGTTGGCCCTTTGTTTTTAGAAGGCAATTCAACCGGACAAATGTATCTGCAGCTTCTGGAAGATATTATTAATCCCCTTCTCACTGATATTATTGAAAATGACCACAATTATCGGGAGGATCTGTTAATATTTTAACAAGATAAGGCTCCCTCGCACTATGATCTGCGTGTTCGACAGTATTTAGATCAGTATTTTCCGGATCACTGGATTGGGAGGCGGGACACTATCGAATGGCCACCACGAACCAGACCTTTCATCGTTAAATTTCTTTCTGTGGGGTCATTTGAAAAGGCAGAATGTACTGTAATCCTCCTGCATCATTCGAAGATTTATGGCAACGAATCACAAATGAATGTCTCCATATCACTCCAGAAATGTTCCACGTTTCCAGCAGAATCTCTATTATTGCATGGAAGCTGGAGTTGCCCATTTTGAGCATATGCTGACATGAGAATAAATTAACTAACTTCAACTCTAAATTTAATATGGTTCGTCCAATTAAAAACAAAATTACACCGTTGTTTAGAGAATTCCAAGATCTTTCAAACGATGTGCGACCCGCCCCCAGTTCCCTATTAAAATTCCAAGGGTTGTTCACCCCTTCGCTCCGAGGTTGAAGTGACGATTGAAGTGACGACGCTGTAAATGGGGGAAAAAACTGTTCCCCTCCCAATAAAAATCGACCTGTTTGATCGTTCACTAGGATTTGCAAGATTAGTACCCAAAACCTCCATGTCAAGTTTCCGATGGCTCAAAATGTATGTATGTTGCAACTTCAGAATGAAACTCAGGGCTGTGAAAGTTGAACAGAAAAAAAATGGAACGAGAATCATGAAACAATGGCTTTATCCCTATGACTATACTTCTAGTAGTCCTTTTGATGTTTTAGTACTTTTGCACCATATTTGTCAGATCAATCTAGCTGGCGATACCAAAATGTCACCGTTCAAGAAGCGCATCACATATATATATTATCTTCGACATTCTCACACAGTCATTATTACAAAACAAATCTGGTTACTTTAAAATTTTCAAATTATTTGTCACTTTGTCTTTGTCACTTTGTCTTTGTCTTGACACTCATTTATATGTTATATAATGTCAAATTGAGATTTAAAATCAACACGAAACTATAGCAAGAAAAAATTCACGGATAATTCATGGGTTCACTTCTTTAGTACTGTTTTATACGATCTAGTACCTTTTTTTTGTTCACCTCCTAGTACGACAAAAGATAAATTGACGAACTGAATGGAGCAGTATTTTTCCCGGATAACGCTAGTTGCAAACACACCGATTTTGGACGGCCGACTTTGTACCGGTCGTACATACTCACCGGTTTTTTACCGACCATTCCAGTCTTGAGCTCGGTGAAATTGTAGTTACTACGCATTAACTTCGTTTTGGTAGTGCGTGCTAATTACGACAACAAAGCAACTGATTGTTTGACCGATAAGAATTCGGTGAGTGTGCAAGCACCCGCTACCAATGAAATATCGGCCTATTTTATACTGGCCGTCCAAAATCGGTGTGTGTGCAACTAGCGTAACGCTAGTTACGCTAGCGCTAGCTAGATTTTGGACGCGGTGTGTGTTATTGGACGGCCAGTATAAAATAGGCCGATATTTCATTGGTAGCGGGTGCTTGCACACTCACCGGATTTTTATCGGTCAAACAATCAGCTGCTTTGTTGTCGTAATTAGCACGCACTACCAAAACGAAGTTAATGCGTAGTAACTACAATCTCACCGAGCATTCGAGACTGGAATGGTCGGTAAAAAACCGGTGAGTATGCAAGAGTGTATTTAGTCATGTACGCCAGTGGATGGCTGCTCACCGGTATTTTACCGGCGACGATCCCCGGTCGGCGTGTGTGCAAGGCCCCGTTCCCACATGTGGTTCGCTATTGGAATTTGGACGACCGGTACAAAGTCGGCCGTCCAAAATCGGTGTGTGTGCAACTGCGTAACGGACGTTATCAAATTAATTAGATGAAATTATAGGCACGATTATTTTTTCTTTCATCAGTGTTTTTCGGAATATCGGTCACAACTGATCTGATCTAGCAAATTGCATTTGAGAAATAATGGATAGGAATGTGCGTATTTGTGTTCATTTAAATAATTGAATATTTGAATGAATTACAAATTGCAACAAGGTTGTTCCGTATGAATAGATACTTTATGACTTGTCATTCAGAAACAGTTGGCTATTATGAGAACCGAATGTAAAAATAATAGCTAGGTTTGAAATGCAAATATGTCAGAACAGAGTACGGCAAAAAAAGTAAGGAGGTATGTCATGATTGTGAAAAAGTTTCACTAATTGAAATTCTCCACAATCGTTAGTATACTGTTTTGTTCGGGTGATAAAAAACGAATATTTCACTATCTGGTGTATAACTTTAAAAAACACATAATGACTAAAAATAAATGCAAGAATCATTGAAAGCAGCCTAATGAATCTATAAAATCTTATTATGTGAAGGACTTTGAAGACTGCAAACGATCTGGAAATAAAAAAATAACACAAATTATGCATTGACCGAGTTAGATTCCCTGAATGTTGTTAGTTCTGGACATAGATCCAACATTTGTTTCGATAATTGACACTAATTCCTGTATCAGAAGCGCCGGACATGAATGAATCGCTTTTTGTCATCATGCTTGGTGATTTCTTAGGCATAAAGGACCACTTTTGTCCTTAAATGATGGCTCTTTTAGATAACTTAACAGTCTATATCGTAAAATGAATTGGGAAAGAAGGGTTTCAGCTTTATATTTCTCCATTTTTATACAAAAACAATTTAGAATCTTCCTAAAAAAGAGAAAGCATCTAATTTCAGAATAAACTTTTTACAAAGCTGTGAATGTCATGCAAAAAAGTAACTTTCAGTCACAAACTGAAAGAAAGCCCTCTCAAAATAATTAATTCCACATAAACATTGAATTATCTACTTTCACTCATATATTCGAATACGTTGGGTTATTCAAAATGGATATGAAATGGTGATCCTTCGAACATTTATAGACATTGGAGGGGGGGTATTTCTTCACCACGGACTAGGTATTCATGGTCAATCAATAACACATCCAGCGCTCAAAATCAGTTATATATGACGTTGCTGCAGGTTGTTCAAAGTCGAAGAAAAAAAGGCTACAAGTCACCTTGCCAACGCAGTTGAAGTTCCAAAATTTTCTGAATAATGTTTTTTTTACCTGTTTATTCGTTTGAGCCACTTTTACAAATACACTCTCAAAAAACTAGTGTTTATTAGTTGATCCACTTTTACTATGTCAACGACAATGGTGATATTATTCTTTAGGGTCAATAATGAATGTTTTATTCACTGTTTTCTGTGTTTTTTCATGGCGAAGCGTATTCGAAACGGAAATTTTCTTCGCTTGGAGTTTATAAGTTACTCCTCTTTTAAATAGTACAAATAAAATACTGGAGGTTTATGAAGCATGCCTCAAGAAGATAATGTTTTCAAGGTCATAAAATTTCTTGCGGTTATTGGCTCAGGATTTTTCCTGGAAATTGAAATCACGATTTGGTTGAAAAACCCTTCAGCAACAGAAATTCTTGAAAAAATTTATTTTCCATAAAGCAATCTCGAATGCCATGCTTACTGTGGTCACACATTTCAACGGTTTGTTAGATTTGTTGAGGTTTGTACGTCCAGATACGTCTATCGAGAATAGTAAATTCAAATCAAACAGCAAAACGAAGGCTTGTTCACAATCGTTACAAATAAAAAAAAGAGATTATAATTCGATATTGAACGAAAACTTTTTTCTCACGTCACAAAACAATCTCAGAAGATCATTGTGACTGTCACAATGATCCGATGACGCTAACTTGGTTCTGCGAAACGCCCGTCCAGAGACCGTAATTTTTGTTATCGTGTTGGGAGAGTGTTTTCAATAGACATATACTCGATGAGAAAAATTCGTGGAGTCAACAATTTCTTTGTTCGGAAAATAATGAAAAATTATTTTGCAAGGAACTCATAAATCAACAATCATCAATTCGTATTACTTTTCCTCATAAACTGCTCTACACATAAAACAAAACTTTTCGTATCTACTTGATAATTAGTTAGCTGAATAGCTTTTCTCTAATAAAATATAGAAGTTTGGAAAAGTAATAAATGAAAATTAAATCCCAAGTTCTGAATATTGCATCATCACCATATCAACATATAACTAGCCAGATATTTCAGGATATCAATACTGTCCTAGGGAGGGGCTCGGTTCCTGCTTTCTTTCACAGTTCGCTCTTTCTGCTATTGGTCGTTTATAAACTAACAAATCATTCAAAACATGAGCTTATATTTCGAATGAATCCACAAGGAAAAAGAATGCTCCCTCCTTTTTCTCAAAATGGCTTGAAGCTCTTTTCTGATAACGCAATAATTCCGGTTGGCTATGCCCTAGGTTCTACTGAAATAACATATGACTTTTTTGCGATAGATGGAGCCAATTCCGTACTGGAATGCATCACAATGACGAGTAGAGTACTTTATTTTACCATTTTTCACAAGTTGCAAATACAGAAATCCTTGTTCAGAGTTACAAAGATAAAATCATCAACTGAAAAAAAATAAAAGTAAAGAGTGTAGATTAAATAAGACAATAAAAATAAAGGAGTATATGCTGATTAAAAGAACAGATATAAAAATTAATAAAATGGTGATTTAATGAGGTCTTTCACAAATTAAAGACCCTACCATGCCAATATATTCCTCAATGTTATAAAAACAGTGTTGAAGAAGGAACTAATTGTTACTTGATTTGCATGATTTTCACAGTGTCTGTCATATTTATCAAAGTTTTCGTGAATCTCTAGTAAAACTTCATAGATATTCAATGTTGGAAGTGGCATAATCCGAAGTTGATTAAAAAAAGGACGACAGTGCCTTTTATAACCTGTTTTGGTTATTATTCTTATGGCCTTTTCTGGCACACACAATTCAGAATACCGAATGACATAACTGAGTGAAATATTCCATATTCTCCACATATAGTCATACTTGAAGACTGGCTATAAATCAAATCATCTGAAGAAACAATTCGTTTAGGACGGTCTCAAATCCCTATACTGTAGGCTAATGGACTGACACCTATCAGAAAACAACTTTTCCCCTGGCTAATACCATGAAGGGCGTTGTATTATATCCAACAGGTGTCAGTGCAGGATTCTTCATTGAAGTTATTCCTGAATATGCTGTTGGCGATACAGCTGCCACGGTGTAGGGAGTTCATACTGGAATGAACGAATTGTTCCTTTAGATGATTTGAATTATAGCCAATCTTCAAGTATGATGCCCACTGACTACATGTGAAAAATTTTCTTTCCTTAAATGAGGAGATGTGCAAATTTCGGATATGCGGTTTGTTATCTCGTTCACAGGCAGATGAGGCGATGACAAACCTCTTGTTTATTGTCCGCTTCAGCCTAGTTCGAGAAATGATACTCTGAAGGAATTCGATTTTCAATTATTGAAAATCATCGACTTCATGTTGATGATAGACACTTCCTTACACTGAGGAGTGGCCAAACAGCCTGAAACCGGTCTGCAAGTGTGTTCCAATTATTGAAAATATATTGCGGCAGTTATATCGCCAAACAGCATATGCAGGAATAACTTCAGTGAAGAATGCTGCACTGACACCTGTCGGATATAATCCAACGCCCTTCGTGGTATTAGCCAGGGGAGTAGTTGTTTTCTGATAGGTGTCAGTCCATTAACCTACAGCGGAGGGAGTTGAAACGGGTCTGAATGAATTGTTCCTTTAGATGATTTAATCCATGATAGGCTCTTTTATGCCTCATCAAGCTGATCACATTATGTAATCACACAGCTTTGTTATAATCAGACCAGCCAAATCTATTATTATATAATCGAATATGTCGCGCATAGATAGGACAGTATGGATGTTGTCACTATCTCTCTTTCTCATCTCAATGAATGAATGATGGTTTTCTAGTAACCAGTTTTAAGTCATAGCTGCACAATCTAAAAAATATTCAGACTTCGTGTTGATCTGTAAGTTTAGGCTCAACATCTCTTATTTTGGTAACACATCGTGATTAGTGGCATCGGCTGAATGATATTAACGAACATTTCCGATAACCCAAATATCCAGATTTAACAACAATCGTTTTAGATTTCATAACTTAACATCAATTACAAGAAAGAAGCATGGGTTATAGTTTTTCTGAATGAAAATAAATTACCATTCTTATTTCCAAATGCCGTAATCCCATTTGATTTCACCTAAACTTGTTGAGAACTGTATACATATTTCTGAAAAGTCCAGTTTGAATATCCAAACACGGTTCCATATTTTGAAACGAAACTATCCCCACGTAATCCTCATATTTTTTGACGCACAATATTTCTCTGACTTCCTGTACAACGTCCTGTATAGAGATGTTACCGTTCGATCATAAAGTATAACTGAGAGCAATTTATCATTCAAATGAGGTAAAATTCAATTGGTGTGTGAAATTTCCAGATACCAGTATCTCGATTGACGTCAACGCATACCAACGGAAATGGGAACGAAACACTCATACGATGTCACCAATATACGAAGTCTGTTCAAAAAATAAGGTAAATGTTCAAATTCCGCAAGCTACGTACATTCGATTAGCGATTTTTCAATTTTTTTATGTTGGTGCACCCATCTTGAACATGTGTTCAAAGTTTCAGCTGGTTAGCATGTTTAGTTTGTTGATGGGAGGCATAAAAGTTAGAAGTGTTTAGCGTGTTAGGCGATTTTCTGCTATCGAAAAAAGCATCACTATTTTCACAGAGGGTCGTGAAGATGTGAATGACGACGCTCGCTCTGGACGCCCCACAACATCAACAACCGATGAAAATGTTGGCAATGTGAAGAAAATTGTTATGGAGAACCGTTGAATCACTATTAGAGACATCATCAAAAAATTATCTTCAACGGAATGGTTACTCCAAAGTAATGGTGGACCAGACTTTGACTGGAAGACAGCAAGAGCACCGCAAGGAATAGAAGCCACCTGTTTTGACCCACGATTGTTTTGTCGTGAGTATGAATGCTCAATGCACACAAGAATTACAATAACTCTTGTGAAAAGATAGGATGAGAAAAATAATTGGTAAGATGTACTGTAGACAAGACAAGATTCAATTCTTACTGTACTCTAACAGGGTTTGAAACGTAATGAATGATTTCAATGGCAATGTTTCACATCGGTAGTTAGAGAAGGGGTCAGATTCGTCGTTGTAGGGATAGACATAGGTTGGGTAGGTAGGAAAGGTTATAATAGCGGGTAATTCCCAAGATAAGGGATGCAAGGAACAATTAAGGAATTTAAAGGTAGCTATTTGTAGTTTACAATATTTACATGGAAATATTTGGGTTGTCTAGGAAAAGATACTCGGGAATATTGAATTTTTTGAGGATAAGTGGATTAGAAAAGACCCGTACATTAGAGAACTAACTGAAAAACCCCGATTAGGAATAATGAAAAATTTAATAACTTAAACAAGATTAGTTAACAATACATAAAATAAAAATAATGCCATACAACAATCTGTTTTGTTGAACAAATTTTAAAGCTGACAACTCTAGGCTAAATACCAAAAAATTAAGATTCACTTGAAAAACATAATAATATTGATAGCTAGATGTTGAGACCGAAAACCATCACAACCAGTGCTTGCCTTTCCCTACGTCAGAGAATCGTCGGAAAGGATAAGAACTTGCTTCAAATAAGAAAACACCATCCGTAGCAGGCCCACGAAAACCAGGCCACCAAACGCGAAGTGCTATTTCAAGAATTGCTAAAACTAAACTAAAACTAAAAGGCAACTGAAAGTTCGCATTCCCGAGCACAAGAGAAGTACACAGCAAGGAGAAACCAGCATTTCGGGATGAGGAGATCATGTTTGGACTCATCAACATAACATCAAGTGGTCCCAAACTGAGATCATCAACAGGGAGGAACACTGGTTTGAGAGGAAGTTCAAAGACGCAGCATATATGTTGTCCAATGACGCATTCAGCCAAGCTAGCATAAAAATATGCGGAAAATGGTCAACTCACGCCAAACGGTCATCTCCCGCTAAGCCGGTGAAGCACGGAGAGGGGATAGGTGGAAGCACTTGAATGACTTAGAGAAACTGCTGAAGATGTCGGATTTTTTGCGAAATTTGAAACACCTTGACTCCAACCAGGGATAACATAGCCGACTGGTACGGGAGGCGATCGGGATCCAAAATAGGAAGCTGTGACCCTCAACCGAATATGAAATCCACCTAAGAAGAAGTAAAATTTACCTAATCCAGGTACATGTATCATCATACCAGACTACCTACACGCTTTACGCAGCCATAATACTCAGTCATCGGACATCAACTCAGGATGTATAAACCTCTGAAGAAGCTAGTACCTCTCGCCAGCGAAACGTCGGAAAGAAACTCCTGACGTTTCGGCCGCAAAAGATTGAACCATTTTGTCAAAAATAGCTTAAAATGGTCCACAGCACTCGAGACTGTTCTGGAATGTTTAACAATGACCTGGATATTTCACCATATTCCATAATGTTCCGGGAAGTTCTGGTTTATTGTTGAACGCTGTAGAACCCTCTCAAATGCTCTAGACTCTTCTAGAACTTTCTAGGTCTCATATTTTTAAAAGTAAAAACAGAAATCTTCTTTACGGATGGGAGATAAAGAGCTATCACAGCATCATTTCACAACATTCTAGAATGTATCGAAATGTTGTGGAATTCTTTCGAATTCTCCCGACTGTTCTGGACTATTCTAGAATTTTCTAGAGAGCGAAACTTACAGGTAAAAACTAGAAACTTCTTAATGGAAAACTCCTTCATATGTAAGCATACATTTTTTGCTACCCATGTGGAGTCGTTAGTAAATGGAAAGTTAATTCAGAGAGTTATAGTAATGAATTGGATCATAATTTCAAAAAACTGAACATGAAGTAGCTTTAAAGATTGCTTGTTCACTTTAAGCACTTGTTGGGTAACCTGACGAAAGTCTGGATATAGCATGAGAACTATGATTAGCGACAAAGGTACCATAAAAAACAACCCATTGTTCATTTTCATATAATAAACCACTATATAAGGAAATGAACTTTAACCGTTCAAGCCAGTCTCAGATATACCTACACAGTAGGTTGAATGGACACGAAGGGCGTTGGATTATATTCGACATGCGTCAGTGCAGGAATCTTCACAGAAAATTTCCTGCGTATGCAATTGACAATACAACTGAAAGAGTCGACCCTCAATTTTGGAACGGGCACACTTGCAGACCGGTTTCAGGCTCCTTAGACATTTTGTTGTTCGATCCAACTCAGGAAGAGGAATGAAATACTGTGAAAGACTTCCGATTTTCAATTATAGAATATCATTGACATTAGGTCGATGATGGACACTATCTTGCACTGACGAGTGGCTAAAAAGCCTGAAACCCGTCTGCAAGTGTGCCCGTTCCAAAATTCAAGGTCGATAGCCAAGCGGTTCGGCATGGGTGCTTTGTTCACTCACTCGAATTGACTGCCGTGTTGGTCGGTGGTTCAAGCCCTAGTCTGAACGATTGATCTTCACTTGCTATCGTCCAACCCGTGTTAGGAATCACACGTTAAAAGGTAAGACCTCGTTAATCCTTAGCTCGCACAAGTTTCGACTTCTGAGGGTTGTCGTTCGTAGGGGTGCGACAGCTGGTTAACGGAAAAACAGATTTTAAACAGATTTTTTTTTAAACAGACTCTTTCAATTGTATTGCCAACTGCATATGCAGGAAATTTTCTGTGAAGTTTCCTGCACTGACACCTGTCGGATATAATCCAACGCCGTTCGTGGTATTAGCCAGTGGAGTAGTTGTTTTCTGATAAACGTCAGTCCATTCAACCTACTGTGTAGGTATATCTTTTAACAGAATTTTCATTTTCCGGTTGAAGCAGATTCAGGATATATAAAAACAAAAAAAATTGAAACAATGATATGCCGAAGAACGAGCAAAACAATGTTTAGATGGGTAAATTAAAAACCGCTATAAATAAATTACAAACTACTTTTGACTTCTATTGGAGACACATTTCGAGAATACAATTTTCCTCTGGAAAATAGATCCATATTTGTGAATGGGTTGAGAATATAAGAGAGACATTTTTCACACAATGTTTTTATGTATTAACTACGAGCTGAGTGCTACGGTTGCAAAAATTAATGACGGTGAATTGTGAGAGTCTTGTCTGTGCAAAGATTTATTTCTCATTACCTTGAAGAAGGTCTTGCACCTACTTCAGTTTCTTATGAGGTAGGTATCGATTTCAAACAGGGTCTATTGACGTCAAAAGTAATAGACAGTACGGCTTTCAACAATCACTGTGACGCAGATGTCTGCTGAGGACTGCATTTTAATGCTAATACAAACAAGTCTTGTGGAATATCAATATTTATTGGCATTGAGAATTTTTGAATATCCTACCATCTTCACTGAAAATTATGACTGAGGTTTCATTCGATTCGGAATGGCTTGTATAGTTACTTTTGGAAAAATGTGTTGTTCATTGCAATTAAATTGAGAAATAAACAGATTACTGAAGAATAAAAATGAGTTTCGTTTTTGGCAAATATTTCGTTGTTTCAAAAGTTTTGTCCGTATTAGGGTCATGTGTTTTTGTAGCTCAATAACTCAATGAATATTTATTCTTCTGTATTCCATCAGTTCGGACTTCCATTGTCTAATATAATATGAATTGATTTGAAATCCCTGAAAAAAATTAAAAGGATTAACCGAAAATAACATTTTTTCAAACAAAAAAAATGAAATTACAAAGAAATAACATACAAGCAACAAGAAAGAAAATAAAAAATTTAAATACTAATAAAAGCTGAAAATTAAAAAATATTATTAACAAAAAATGAAACATTAAAATTAAAAGATTACAAACCAAGTTACGTCACGACGTTTCGATTGCTGTTAGTATCCACAATCGTCTTCGGGTGATACCTGGACTTATTCTTCCGAGATCCGATTATTTAGAGGTCATTCAAGTGCTTTCACCTATCCCCTCTTCCCTCTCTCCGCTTCATTGGTTTTAGCGGGAGATGACCGTTTGGCAGGAGTTGCTCGTTTTTCGCTTGATTAGAGGTTTCTATATGTTACGTATTTCTACGCTAGCTTTACTAAATGCGTTGTTCGACAACATTTACGCGGATTTTTTGAATTTTCTCCTAAACCAGTGTTCCTCTTTGTGGATGAATTCAGCTTGAGCCCACTTGATATTTTGTTGATGAGTCCAAACATGCTCTGCTATTCCTGATTTGCTGGTTTCTCCTCGCTGTGTGTGTTTCTTGTGCTCAGCAATGCGAATTTTTAATGGACTCTTAGTTTCACCGATGTATGATTCTCCGCACTCGCATGGTATCCGGTAAAAGCAATTTTC